GTGACAGGGCTAGGGTTTCTTGTTACACACCCCCCTCCCTTCTCTTTTGTCTGGGGTCTTCCCTTCCCCTCTGAACACTTTTCGTCTTCATATTGTCTAGATGAAAAATCAGCACTTACATTCTTAGTCCCTGGATGATGCTCCACCTCAAAACAGTATGGTTGGAGACTGAGGGCCCATCTCATCAGCCTAGAGTTATCAGTCTTCATGCTCTGAAGCCATCGCAGCAGCGTGATCTATTATTAATGTAAATTACCAACCTAACAGATAATATCAAAGCAATTCTATGGCCCATTTGATCACCAAACATTCCTTTTCTATTGTCGCATGATTCCTTTCAGAGGGTGTAACTTTCTCCTAATGTATGCTATTGGATGTTCCTCTCCTTCCTCCATTTGAACTAACGCTGCCCCAGTAGCCCAGTTGGATGCATCTGTCAATACCATAAATGGTTTGTTGAAGTCTGGTGTATATAGTAGTGGCTGTGTACACAGTGCCTCCTTCACCTTTTGAAATGCTGCTTTTGTTTCTGGTGTCAGTCTCACTTTGGTTGGAGCCACTACCTTTACCATTTTGGTTAAATGCACCACTAAGTCTGCGAAATGAGGGATGAATCTCCTGTAATAATTTGCCATTCCCAAAAAGACCTTCACTTGTCTCTTTGTTCGTAGAGTTTGATACTGCTTCATTCCTTCTACCTTGTCCCACAGTGGTCGTACCTTCCCACTTCCTACCTGGAACCCAAGGTACTGTGTTTCTTCCTTTCCAATCATACATTTGTTTGGGTTGGTGGTTAACCCCACCCTCCTTAAGTCCTGCAATACTGTCCACAGTGCTGTTAAATGCCCTGGCCAATCTGCGGTATACACAATAATGTCATCTATATATGCTTCAGCGTAACCCCCATGTGGAGCCAGGACTCTGTCCATTGGCTGCTGAAATGTCACAGCAGCCCCATGCAATCCGAATGGCATGAGCTGGACGTGGAATAGGCTCCATGGTGTGGCAAAATCTGTCTTTTCTTGGTCCTTGGGTGCTAAGGGGACTTTTCATTAGATTCAATGTGGAGATATAGCTAGCTTGCCCTATATTCTCCACCATTTAATTCACCCTCAGCATTGGATAAGCATCAAACTTGGCCACAGCATTTACCTTTTGGAAGTCAATACAGAGCCTAATTTTTCCATCTGGTTTCAGCACGGCTACAATGGGACTGAGCCACTCACTTTGGGACTCTTGTATTATGCCTTTCTCTAACATCATCCCAAGTTCCTCCTTTATCTGGCCTTGGAGTTGTTGTGGGATTCGCCTCCAGTTCTCGTGGATCACCTAGCCTGGAGGGATCCTTATTCAATGTATCACACCCTGAGCCTCCCCAAGGACCTCTTGGAACATGTCTCCATATTCCCACACTAGTTCCCTTGCCTGCCATCTCTGCTCTTCTGAGAGTTGGGGGCCACTTCCACTTCACTACCCCCTTCCCTCTCCCTCAGGGAGGGTCCTAGTTCAGGTTCATCTGGTTGGAGGGCCAAGTACAGGCACTCTCTTTCTTGCCATGGCTTCAGCATGTTAATGTGGTATATCTATTTTTTCTTTTGCTTGTCTGGTTGATATACCTCATAATCTACAGGCCCTAGTTGGTGTGTTATTTCATAAAGGCCTTGCCATCACGCTAGTAACTTGCTCTCCTGATCTGGTAAGAGAACCAGTATGCGGTCTCCTAATTCGAACTTCCTCTCTCGAGCCACCCAATTGTAATGGGTTGCTTGCCACTCTTGGGCCTCCCTCAGATTTCCTAAAGCCTCCTTCCAGACCAATTCCAGGCCTTCTCTAAGTTGTATCATGTATTGAACCAGGTTCTGGTCTTTACTTTGTTGTTCTTCCCAGCTTTCTTTAACCGAATCAACAATTCCTTTTGGTTGCCGCCTGTATAACAGCTCGAAGGGGGAAAATCCTGTTGAGGCTTGGGGTGCCTCTCTTATTGCAAACAACAAGGGTGGTAACATCTGATCCCACTTCTGGGGGGGTCTCTACCACAAACTCCTTCATCATCTGTTTCAGGGTCCTGTTAAATCGCTCCACTAGTCTGTCGCTTTGGGGGTGGGATGCTGTGGTCTTTAGGTGTTTAATGCCCAGTGGTTTTCTCACTCCCTTGAACACACGAGATGTAAAGTTTGTCCCTTGGTCCGTCAACAATTCTTTAGAGAGCCCCACTCTGGATAATATTTTTAATAATTCTTCTGCCACCTTGGGTGTAGACACCACCCACATAGGTACAGACTCCAGATACCTTGTTGCATAGTCCAGGAGGACCAAAATAAATTGGTGCCCTGCACTGCTTCTAGGCAGTGGCCCCACAATATCCACAGCCACCCACTCAAAGGGGACTTCCACCAATGGTAGTGGTATTAACGGAGCTCTTGGAGAATGACTGGGGTCTTCTTTTTGGCACATGGGGCAAGATGCGCAGTACTTGGCCACTTCCTATATTAACCCTAGCCAAAAAACTCTTCCCCTGATGCGAGCCTCAATCTTGTCTCAACCCAAATGTCCGCCCATAGGGAGTTCATGGGCTACATTCAGTAGAGCCTTTCGGTATCGCCGAGGTACCAACAATTGTATTACTTCCTCTTCCCCATGTTTTCCCCTTTCAACTCTATATAGATCGTTCCTCACCTCAGATCGTGGGGTGGTCTGCCTCAACTCTGGTCTCAGCACTTCCCCATTCACTGGGCTAGGTGCTCCTGGAAGGCATACTGAAACCCTTCTTCTCTGCTCTGTTCCAACCTGAAGTGTTCATCCTCCCACAAATGTGCCATGTCCACTTCCTGTTCTGCTTCTTTGTCTGATAGAGGTAGTTCAAGCTCACCCTCGAACGCCTCTATAGTATGAGCATCCCCAGATACCGCCTCAGACTTCACTGTCTTGCATCCTCCTTTACCTGCTCCAAGTGGTCTCCAGCTGGGGCCTTCTACCTCTGTATTCTCTTCAGAGGCTTCCCCCCTAGTGCAGCTAGGGTAGCATTGTGGGGTCACCCCTCTCAAACTGTATGCCTGGGCTATGACCATCAAAAGCTCCAGCCAGTCACATCCCAGCATCACTGGGTAGGGGAAGTGCTCAGTCACTTTGACCAGCATTCAGCGTACTTTCTCACCCACTTGCAGAATAACTTACACTCGGTCTTGTCTTAGCAATTCTCTGCATCAACACTGAATAGTGACCTGGTCCACCACTTCACTCTCCCCTCTTGGTAGGATGTCTCTCCACACTGTCGTGTGGGATGAACCAGAATCTAACATAGCCTCTGTTTTCTGTCCCTCAAGCCTCACATCTATGGTAAGCATGGGCCGTTCCTCTTTCGGTTCAGTGTAAACTCGGGCAACATACCCACAAACGCCCATGGAGGGGGCTTGGTTTTTTGGTATGTCTCTCAACATCCTCTCAAGAAATGCCTGCTGTCTTTCACTTGTTTCTGCAGGGATGCCCCCCGCCAGCCCCTCATCCTGCATTAAGTGCCTGTAAAGGACCCAAATTGACCCCTTGCCTTGGACAGTCTAACTGGAGCTAATCTCTATTGAAGCCTCTGTCAGACCACTGTTGGATAGATATATAGAATTACAATTACAGTTCAATTCCTTTCCATGAGAAAGCAAATACCGAGCATAAAGCAGGTGATTATGCACCCACCCTACCTGCCTCTTGCCCCTGTAGGTGGGGTGAAAGAAATGGCCACCTCCTGGTTCCTGAACTCATATTGTAACTTGCCACAAAGCAAGCTGTTCTCGTGAACTATGGCTACTGCATTGGCAGAGGGCTTGGGTCACATCAGGGACTTTCCACTAAGGAAGGTGATGAGGCTGAGTTCTTCCTCTGAATTGCGCAGAAAAAAAAAGTCTCTCCCCCACCTTCCTTCAGGCTGTAGCACTACAACACTACTAATGCTTTCATGCATAGCACACTTTCATGCATAGCAAACACTTCTCTTGCCCTCCTCCTGGTTACTGGCCATCAAGCTGTAGCATTACAACAATGATGCTTCACTTTCTGCTGTCTGAAATCAAAATATTACTTGTATGTTCCTCTCGTAAAATCTGAAAAAAACCTTTAATTTTTTTTTTTAAATACCTTTTGTTAATACTTTCTTCCTAGTCTGCTGGCCAAGACCTCCCCTCCGTTGCATTTATTTGCACAAGTTGTCCAGGCTCACATAGTCTTCTCTTCCTTCTCCTGGTTACTGGCCATGTCCTGCATCAGTACCAGCTGGACATGTTGTGCACGGGCATTTCATTAATTGCTGCTAAATTTGCTGCAGAGGGCTCATGTCACAGGGTCGGGGGACTTCCACTAGACTCTCCTCTGAAGGGCAGAGGCCTCTTCCTGATTGCTGGCCTTTTTGGTTGCTGGCCAAGACTTCCACATTCCAGGTAGTAGGCTTTTCAGCCCACTTGCCCTGCACCCTGCACCTCTCCATTGCACCCTTCTAACTTTGGAATCATTGCTGGGAAAAAGATTTTTGCTGGGTGGTGAAAACACTGCCTACTTCCAGGCCTTCTCCTTGGGAGCCAGAACCACTGCAGGGGCAGAAGCAAAGATGTCTTCACTGGCTTTGGCATGAGCGACAGCACTTACCCTGTGCCACAAAGCCTTCTTGTTGATTTCTAGTGGGTGGGAATTGAATAAATGCCTATTTCCTCCCTACATCTTGCCCATTGACCACTTTTGCAGACCAACCAGCCAGTATCATTTCAAGCTTCACTTATGTGTTGCGGTTTGCACATACTCTCTCCCTAGCATCTCCTTCATGGTTACTGAACACATCTCAGAAAATGCAATTTCACTGCAGGAAATCGATACATAAAATCCTCATAGACTACTGTAGCATGTGTGCCTTTAAAAATAATTATTGCTACAGTAGTCTATGAGGATTTAGATTTTAGTTTTTCCATTTTAAAAAGGGGCTTTCCTCAGGTCATGATAAATCTGTACCAGGCCTGTGGGCTCTTCACCCCACTTGCCCACCTGTGAACATACCTCTCTGTTGCAGCCTTGTAGCTTTGGAGTCATTGCTGCTGGCCACAAAGCCTTCTTCTAAGTTGGTATTGGCCACAGAGCCTTCTTTTAGGTTGCTAGCCAAGACCTCTACCCCCTATTTGCCCTGTGCCTTATGACACCTCCTCCATTGCACCCTTGTATCTTTGGAATCATTGCTGGGGAAAAGCTTCTTGCTATGTGCGGAAAACTCTGCCTGCTTCCCAACCTTCTCTTTGGGATCCAGTGGCAGAAGCTATCTCTGCAGTGGCAGAGGTCTCGGGTTGCAGGTGGTGCCTTCTTCCCCACAAACAGCTTGAGTTTCTCTTCTGAATTGTGGAGGCCTTCTTGGTTGCTTTGCCAGCTCTCTGCCTTAGACCTCTCACCCACCTCCTGGTTAGGTTTGACCACTGCAGTGGCAAAAGCTGAGGCTTCTTCACTGTCTTTGGCCCCAGCATAAGCTTGATTTGCACAAGTTCTATAGGCCCATTCCATATAGTCTTCTGGCCCTGAACCTGGTTACTGGCCATATACCTACCACCAAATTTGGATTGGGGTACATAGATGAGAGAATACACTATAGGTGGTGTGGGGGGCCAAAGATTTAACAGGGGATAGAAAATCTATAGTGTTTTAGCTTTATTGTGATTTCTCAGTGCAATTGATTGCTGGTCCGCACCCTTAACAAGTCCACCCTGCAACACTTTGCAACTCTTTACTACTCTTTCCAGTAACATAAACCACCCCACCCCCCAGGCACAGCATCCCTGCCACTGAGGTGGGCATGGTCTCTGGAAACAAACCCAACCATTCCGAAGAAAAATCATGACTCTAAAGATACAATGCAATTCTCTGCAGACTTGAGTTGCACTGATCTGGACCTGAGGGGGCCCCCCTTTGCGACCATGGCTACCCCCCACCCCCACCCAATCCTTCTAGGTGGGACATGGTCAGTAACACACAGTGCCACTTACTGGCTAAAGGCCAGAACACAGCAGTCCCTTTTGGTGAAGGGGATTAATTACAAGTCTTTGGACTCTCTGGCTGTTTGCACTGGCTGTGGCTAGTAAAGCGAGCAAAATGTTGACTTGCACCCATAGATGCTTCTCAAGCAAATCCCAGGACATCATTCTCCCACTCTACTCAGCCCTGGTGAGGCTGCAGCTGGAGTACTGAGTCCAGTTTCGGGCTCTGCAATTCAAAAAGGATGTGGAGAAGCTTAAGAAAGTCCAGAGGCGAGCCACGCGCATGATCAGAGGTCAGGAAAACAGACCTTATGATGAGAGGCTGAGAGCCATGGGACTCTTCAGCCTGGAAAAGCGCAGGCTCAGGGGTGATCTGGTGACCACCTATAAGTTTATCAGGGATGCTCACCACGATCTGGGGGGAACATCTGTTCACCAGAGTGCCCTAGGGGATGACAAGGTCAAACAGTCACAAACTCCTTCACGACTGTTTCAGGCTGGACATAAGGAAGAACTTCGTTACAGTCCGAGCCCCCAAGATCTGGAATACATTGCTGCCAGAGGTGGTTCAAGCACCTACTTTGAACACCTTCAAGAGCAAATTGGATGTTTATTTTGCTGGGATCCTATGACCCCTGCTGACTTCCTGCCTCTGGGGCAGGGGGCTGGACTCCATGATCGTGGACTCGATAATATCTATGAAATCTAAGAAATATATCAATTTAACCCTTTTGTGACAACCTTCCCCTGTGACACTGAGGTGTCTTTGGAGCTCAGGGCATTGGACAACATGGTTCTTAGGGCTGTGCAAAACAGCACCATTCTGCTTCAACTTCTGCTTCAATGTTTTGACAGAACAAGGTTTCATTTCAAGTTTCATTTCATTTCAAAAGAACTGTTCTGTTTCCTTTCATCAAAGCTGTTTTGCTGTTTCAACATTTTGCCCATAGGCTATTCTGCAGCCAGTGCCAGGAAGATCAGTGCTGCCACTGGCCACAGCCAGCAGCACCAATATCATCTGCATGCCAAAAAGTAAGTTCAGCCGGGGCACAATTTTGCCTAACACTGGCTCTCAGTTGCATCATAACAGCTTAATTCAGCATCCTTTGATATGTATATGATGGTTATGTCTGCTTATACCATTTGTTTAGTTACAGCTGCCAGCCTTTGGACCTTGCTATACTTTTGCCTGCTCTACTGAAGAGTCATCTGTTATTGAATTTCTTTTCTTTTTGTAGGTACTTATAGTATGTGATCAAATCACCCCAAAACCTACTTTGAATCTTCACTGTAAATCTGGTTTTCCAATTTTTTAATCACTCTTTTGACTCTTCTGTGAATACTCTTCAAATTAACAACATCCTTCGTAAACTGTGAATATCAGAATTTGACATAAAATTCTAGTATGTGACACTAGAACTAAGAATAGGGGTGAGAGCACCTCCTATAAATCAGATTGCAAAGACTGCAGAGTTGGGACGCAAAGATTGGCTTCCTCTATAGCAGAGGCATGGGTCTTTTCATAGGATTTTCTGAGCACATATTAATTCATTTTTTATGTCATAGCAGTAACATTGCCCTTATCTCCCCTGCTTTTACATATGGCATGTTATATGGTATTCTTGATTTTCTTGGCATTATATCTTGTGGTTGCATTTCAGGGTTTTAAATGGGGATTTCTCAGGTAAATGATTGCGTGGAAATTTAGGGGCTTTGATTCAAAGGTTCAGGAGGACATTTTTGGTCCTTCATTCCTCCCTATTCCTACTCAAGATTCCCAGTTTTACATCCATGATAAATTCTCTCTTTTTCCCACAGCACCATACCAGGAGCTCACGTTCAGCTGATTATCCGCCATAGCCTACAGGTCTTTTTCAGTCATAGTAGAGTCCTTCATCCTGCTCTTAGATGTTTGACTTCACACTTTGCCTTACTGAAGCACATTTGTTTGCTTCCATTCAGCTTACCAAGTGATCCAGAATACTCTGGAAGAGCAGCTTTCTTTTTATTATTTACAATTCAACCAATTTCTGAGTATCTGCAAATATTACCAGCAAAGTATCAAAGAAATGTTAAAATGAAACACAAATAACTTTTTAAGAATCTTGTTAATTTAAGAAATGAAGACGTGACTAAGATTACTCTTTACTAACAGATTTCTTGGCAGATAGCAGGGGTCAAGTCCCCCCACACCCCTTCTCTCCCCCCTCCCGCTGACCCTTATGACTCCTCAGCACTAAAACAAGCCCTAGTGGCATGGGGTCAAGCTATGAAATTCCCCATTAAAGGGCTCCCAACACAGTGCCCTACCTCACTGATTGTAACTCACCTCAAAAGTAGAAGACTGTTTCATCATATCTTTGATCATGATATAGCCTACAAGGAAATGAGGAATTCAGGGCAGATGCTGCCTGGTACCAAGGGTGAATCTAGGGAGGTTTTGGGGAGTGCTGTCAGACCCCTCTTTCATTCATGTTCCACTAAATATTTAAAACAAACTGCCCAACAGGGACAGCCACTGTTCTGTTTAGGTGGACCTAAGTGAGTCAATTGCTACATGGCTGATTGTTATCTACTTGATTTCTGCTGCTCTTCACTCCATAGGTGTTAACAACACTTGATCTTCCTCTAATCAAGCTAGCCATTCTTTTACAATCATCATGTCTGTCATTTACTGGTAACATTTCTCTACTCATTTTCCAGCATATCCAATAAAGGTGTGCTGCTACCTAGGAACTTTGCTCCTAGGGGATTACAACCCACAACAAGTCAGAAATAGGGAGGGGAAGGGCAATGCTAAAAGCAGACTGAACTGTACCATGGCACAACAGTCATGAGCAAGAGGGTACTGCAAAGGTAAGGCAAAGTGGTAAGTTACTGCAGTGACCCTTTCCTTGTTTATTCAATGCAGCAGATGACAGAGGCTGAACCAGCAATATATCCAGGACATCATAAAGTTGAGCATGGCTGGATGTTTTCAGTTAGGGGTACTGCCAGCAGTAGAAGAGATTCAACTTACAACCCCAACTATTTATTTCTGTGTGTTGAGTAGGGAGGACAGTAGAGGCCAGCTATGAACATATGCTGTGAAAAAAGGAGAGGGCAGTTACAGCTCTGTCTCCACCTTCCCAGTAGTCATGGGTTGTGAGGTAGAGGGAACACTTTGGAAGGGGTTTTGAGGGGAAGAAACTCCCAAGGACTGATGTGGAAATTCAGACAGGATCACTGTTTGGCTATCAGAAGCACTTTATTTTGCGAGGCCATGGAAGAAAAAGCAAGGGGCAGCTAATTCTCAATGAAAGCAAAGCACAGACCCCTTTATATACTGGTAAGTCACTTACAGGCCAAGCTGCCCCATAACATACTCTTGGCAGCCTGACAGTGACTCATCCTGTTGTTTGCTGAACCAAGCATGTTTTCTCAAGCTGTCTCTTGATAAGCTTATCCTGAAGGCTGCCTTGTTGTTTCCACTCGGCCTTCACTCTCATCCCCCATCCTGTCCCGACACATATACACTTATAGATTCATAGATTAAGGGTCGGAAGGGGCCTAGTAGATCTTCTAGCCCGACCCCCCGCCAGGGCGGGAGAACAAAAAACCCCAAAAAGAGAAACGGGACTCAAATGAGTCCAGCCAGGTAGGCATCCACCCTCTTCTTAAAGACCCCCAGGGTAGGGGCCAGCACCACTTCCCTTGGAAGTTGGTTCCAGCTCCTAGCCGCCCTAACTGTGAAGTAGTT